ATGTAGGCCGCTCTTGATCTTGAGGCCCTAGGCTGAAGCCTAGTTAGCCTATAGGAAAATCCGGCCCTGCATGTTTTAGCTCATAAAAACGACAAAATTCCATTCTGGTTCTGATTTGACCATTTTGTTCAGAGGATTAAAAATAAAATGTTCTCCGTAGATATTGACAGAGAAAACAATTTACTTGGGAACCAACATCTTGGTTGGCTCAAGGTTGACTCAGCCTTCCATCCTTCCGAGGTGGGTGAAATGAGGACCCAGACTGTGGGGGCAATTTGCTGACTCAATTTGCTAAAAATCTGTAAACCGCTTAGAGAGGGCTGAAATCCCTATGGAGCGGTATATAAGTCTAATAAATAAATAAATCTTATATATAACCAAGTACTGCTCTAGTGAAACCTCTGAACTTGGGATGAGCATGTACAGCGCATTCAGAAAGTATTCAGAGCCAAAGTATTCACTTTGGTCAGTTTTGCCATGCTGCAAATGCCTGATTCTACAGTTGTCAAAATTCTTTTTTTTTTCCAATTAAAAAGTACCCCATAATGACAAAGTGAAAATAGAGTTTAAAAAATGTCTGTAAATTTATTAAAAATAAAAAAAACCTTGCAATATTACAATGGCATAAGGATTCAGACTCTTTGCCACATCACTTCAAATTTGTCAGGATGAGAAAACCTTAAAAGATTTGCTCTACGGAGATTTATAAAAAGTATCCTGCTAAATCCTAGGATTCTGTGCATGTTTACCTAGAACTGAGTTCCAGTTTCTTTTGTGGGTGTTTAGTTGTCTAGCATAGTCATCCCTAATGATAGAGCTGTTGATTTGTTCTCTTCTCTTGCCAAACAACAACACACCAATTGTAGCTGAGCCACCAGAAATTCAAACAAAGCTGGAACATTTGCCAAGAACCAATGTCTCAGGACTATTTATGACGTCTTTCATTACCCACAACTGTAATTATATTAGCCCATTGTAGCAAGTAGAACAATGAACCTGGTGGCAGTTTAGAAATTAGAAAAGAGATTGATCACACTGTTGTCTCTACAGTAAGATAATACCTAGTGATAACTCCCTTCCCTAACTGGTTTTAAAGTCTGTTTTATTTTAAATGTTTTGAAGTATGTTTGATTTTGATGAAAGAAATGTCCTTCTGGATTCGGCTCCAAGTGGGGAAAAGAGACACTGGAGACATGGAGGCTGCTTGGAAAGATTGTAGAAATTACTGGAGAAAATTATACATCCTGGAGCATACCTGGAGGTCTTATGTACATTAAGTTCAATGGAGAAAATAGGTTTTTTTTAATATTTATATTGCATTTTTACTTTTTGATTGGAATGAATGTTCCATGGGCCACATGGGTATTCTGTATTACTTCTTGACCAAAACCAATAAAAATCCAGGTTTTAGAGTAAAAAAATAGATTTTTTTTTTAAAAATGGAATAAATAAATGACAAACCACTTCTGTATTGTTGCAAAGAGAAACAGCCAAGATGTAACCATGAAGTCCCCAGCTCAACTTGAGAGAAGTTTTGCTTTTTAAATCTCTTAAATTGCACCACTCGATATTGACAGGAACCTCTTTCCCAAAGAAATCGAAGCTTCTTTGAAAATGTTGCTGACTGCTTATGCAATGTAATAATGTGGTGTTATCAGCTAGTATGAAATGAAAATAATTTCCCAGAAATGACTAGTCCTAAGTCACTTAGTGAGTTTCTTCTGCAGTGGTGATATTCCCTGAGATGTGTTCCATAAGGCGATCAAATCGGTCAGTCCTAGAGGAGATCAATCCTGACTGCTCTTTAGATGGCCAGATCCTGAAGAGGAAACTCAAATACTTTGGCCACCTAATAAGAAGGAAGGACTCCCTGGAGAAGAGTCTCAATGCTGAGAATGATTGAGGGCAAAAGAAGAAGGGTAAGACAGAGAATGAAGTGGCTGGATGGAGTCACCGAAGCAGTAGGCATAAGCTTAAATGGACTCCAGAGGATGGCGGAGGACAGGAAGGCCTGGAGGAACATTGTCCATGGGGTCGTAATGGGTCGGATACGACTTTGCAACTAACAACAACAACAAGGTAGAGGGAGTGCTTTATTACAGTGATGTTCCAGTTAGTAGCTTGATTTTTTACTGACCATGCTGCTTCAATATGCCTTTTAAATATATATAATAATATATATAGTGTCACAACCCCTGGTATGCCCCAATTATGGGAGGAAGCTAACTGCTTCCATAACTGCAGTTAGCTTCCTCCCATAATTGGGGCTTACCAGGAGTTGTGACACTAAATATATACATTCTTCCCTGGCTTCAGCTGATAAGGAGGAGGACCTGTGGCTTACTGGCTAAGACGTCTGC